AGCTGAGGGATAACTTTTCTTTTAGATACAGACAGCCATAATTACTTCCACTTTTTGCTTATACAAGGCCTTAGAAAATTAAAAATCGCATGGTCCAGAAGACATCAATAGCTTTTTATGCGAAATTTTACTATTTATATAATGTTATTAATTTTCATCTAAGTTCATGTTGAAAGATATATACCGTAAAATTCTCTTCAAACATTCTGTATAATGTTTTATTACAACGTATGAGAAGAGAAAGCTACACGAAAAATATTCAAGGTCTCCGAAGCTATCAGCTTTCTAAAGCGCGGTGTAGCATTTTTTTGCTAAGGGGTGACAAAAGTATAAGCATATATGAAATTAAATTTTCTAATGCTACGACGAATGTAGATTTAGTCTTCATAAAAGGAGTGATGCAAAAATTTGATTCTAGGTGCAATAACATCATACATTTTTAATAAATTAGGAATCGATAATGAATTGATTTTGATTTGTTTTTATTGTAATCGATTCGCTAGCAATTGACAATCGATAAAAGAATAATGATTTTAGTCATTTAAAATGAATCTTTTCTGACTTTTACATGAATTATTTTTTACATGAAAGTGTGTCCGCAGTTTTTACAGGTAGGCATTGTAGCTGTCTTTTTAATGAAGTTACTTGCTTATTCAGAACGATGCCAATTTTCGCCGAGCAATTTTGACTAGAAATAGATCGTTCGTTAAAGAAATCGTTTTCTAAGTGAACTGAAAACTATGCTTTTTTATACTCCGGCTGACTAGAAGTACCTTTGAAAATGAAGTCTTTGTTCTACCCTTAGTTTCACATGCTCTCAATTACAAAGAAGCATGATACCTTTGTTTAATTGGAAAGCTGACAATTCTCATGGACTTTTCAATTAGAGACTTTTCAATGTAGTGATGTAGATTGAATTCAGTGACTAATAAGACTTTTTATGAAGATTACTACTTCTTCCTATGGTATTTATATCATGATATTGACGTGAAAAAAATACACAGGCCTAGACAGGCAGGCCCGAGAAAATGCCAGGCAGGCAGGCCAGGCCGAGGAAATCAGAGAACAGGCACAGGCAGGCTAGAAGAGGTGTAAGCCTGTCACAGGCAGGCCAGGCCTTCAAAAAGTGGGCCTGTTTGGACCTCTGTAGTGTGCATTCAGTATTGAATAAATCTCTATGATATTAACAATTCAATATAAAAACTTAAAATTACTTTGATTGTGTCATCAGAGAATATCTCCACATAAGTGTTGGAACTAACGTTAGGCATTCTGTAAATTTTGAAGGTTATATAAGATCAAATACAACAGTGTAAGAAAAGTCCAATGTTCTTAAAACTTGACTATTACCAGGGGACAAAAAGATCAATGGTGGCAAAAATAATTCTATAAAAGTTGTCATTTATTGCTTTTTAGATATACATCATTTTAATATTTCGTGAAGAACTTACTTCCTACTGAACATGGCCACAGAAGGTGAAGAAGAAGCAATAGCACAGCGTATATCACGAATTACAGATATTGTCCAGGAACCGCTTGAGTATATCGCACCCATTGGTGGCTATGAAGAAATGCCACTTGTTTCACTTGAAATAGCTGTTGAACCGCTTGTCTGTATTCTACCAGCTGTTCAAAGTCACGCATATGTTGCCAAACAGCGATGTAAGAATCCTGCCGATGGATTGACACAAGATGAATCCGCGTCAATTATGTTGTACACAATGGGATGGAAGCCACTAGATAAATGCTTATATTTCGTTTTGAATGATACATTACGCTCATCAGATAGGCAACAAAAGCTTGAACCATGGTATTTGTTTATGAGACTCTTCCTTAATGCACTCTTTCGTCTTCCGTCGCTAGCTAAAACTGCGTACAGAGGTGTTAAACTAGATCTTAGCAAGTGCTACATCCAAGGACAAACAATCGTCTGGTGGGGTTTCTCGTCTTGTACAACGGCTGTTGGTGTCCTACAATCGGAACTATTTTTGGGAATGACGAGTACTAGAACAATGTTTACCTTACAATGTCAATCAGCTAGAGATATCCGTAGGCATTCGTATTATCGAGCTGAAGACGAAGTACTTCTTATGGCAGCAACTCAATTCAACGTAGTCAGTTGTCTTAATCAAGGTAATCTCCATATTATCCAATTGGAAGAAACTAGCCCACCATTTCCACTCTTACAGCCAGTACCAGTTGTTGTTCCACCACCAATCAATCCAACTCTCCCAAGTAAGTAAAAACCAAAACAAAAGAATATTTTACTTCTTAAGTAAAGCTTCAATTTTCGATACTGCGAAAAATATCAAGGATTATATTCTTCAATTAATGTTCGCATCACAAAAAATGAACATAAAGAATCAATTTGCTACCCATTTAAAAAGAACGGTTAAGAAGCGAATTAAAATCGGTTTAGTTTAAAAGAACAGAAAAAAAGATTCTTCATGACAATTTTCCTTTAAATTCAATGGAATCTTGAGTTTCAAATAACAACTTTCACGAAAACTCGATGTTGTCCAAGTCATCGATTAAATATTTCATTATCCTCAAGCATTTTTTTTATGTATTTACTGAACTCTGTTTTCTGTTGTAAAACCAATATAATCGA